AGTGTCCCATTTTTCCAGGGAATTCCCTGATTTAGAGAAGCGGTCCTAGTTTCTGATTTGATCCAAAAATCTGCCATCTGAAGGCAGTCCTGTATAGGGAAGGTTGTTTTTTTAAATGTTTAATGTTTTGTTATGTTTTTCTATATGTTGGGAGCTGCCCTGAGTGCTGGGACAAGCCAATAAGATGTGTGACGTATAAATAATAAACTTATCATTATGGAATGGGACATCCCTATTTTCATCAGAGAAATGTTGGAGGGTATGGAATCTCTAGGGAATGTTAACCGTGGTAACTGCTGCTCAGGGCAGACTGAGGTTGGTGGGGCCAGGGCCGGATTTAGGTTTGATGAGGCCCTAAGCTACTGAAGGTAATGGGGCCCTTTATATGTCCAGCTGTCCTTTGTCAACAACAAATTGTCGCTGTTTTTTGTGTTGAATCTATGCTATATGGTAATTTATGGACCTGATATTTTGAGAATGTACATCCAGTTTCCCCTCTTTAATTTTTTGGGGGCCCCCAAGAGATTAGGGCTCTAAACTATAGCTTGTTTAGCTTATACGTAAATCCAGCACTGGGTGGGGCAGTGCCCCATTTGCCCTCCTGGACCACCCTCTGCTGCTTTTTAGGAGCCACCCCATAGCCTATATGCCAGGCTGTGTTCCTTTTCCTTCTTATAGAGCACTGAGATGCAACATGTTCCTCCTCCAGGCCCAGCCTCCAGCGACTTGGTCCAGTCAACTGAAGCTGAGAACTCTCGTGTTTCATCCCAAGGAATTCCAGGGTAGACGAGCCAAATGGAGTTCCCTTTCTCCCCTCCCTCCTAGGTGTTAATCTTCCCCCTTAAAAAAAAGAAGTCGTCAGACTGATACTTTTTTTTTTTTAAAGGCCTTTGTTGGTTATAGAATATCAACTTCTAATAATGGGGTAAGTTAGGCATTGAAGGGCATCCTGACCGCACCAGTGGGGTCATCTCCATTGGCAGCCTTGATAAGGGATCATTCTTCCCTCTTTACCTCACGGTCTCCCTTTACCAGGGGTTTTAAATTGCTTTTTCCCGACAGACTACCCTCGTTCAAAGGGAAATGGGAAAGAGGTTGACAGGAGCATTGGGTATTAGGAATCCATTACCAAAGGCCTGGATTCTGCCGGGGTCTCAGGGGATGTGCCCCTCACCGGCCCACCAAACAGTGTATTACATTGTGAAGGGAAAGTGTGTGGTGGTGGTGGTGGAAGACACGAGGATAAAGAAATTTGACTTTGCTTTCCCTCTCCCCTCTGTCAAAGAATCCTCACTGTGTTTATTCGGCCAAAAACAGAATTGCTTTGAGATGCTTTAGCTAGTTCTCTGTCTTTTGGCTCGTTTTGCTTTTGCCTAAAGAAGCCCCTGCCCCTCCCACTTAAACGGCTCTTAAACTAATGAACCGAGATGTAAATAAAAGTTGGCATACTTTGCTATTTGGGTGAGGTGCCCACAGAGATGAGGAGCCTCATAGGGTTACGAGTTGCATGGAGACAGAAAAATACTTGCCATCCGCTGAACACTGGATTATTTCCCATTCGGCTCTGATCTGGTAGCAATGGACAACTGTCCCATTTCAGAGCCCAGAGTGGGGTTCCTCAGGCCTGTGGTCTGAACGAGGGCCTTGGGTCTCTCTTACCTGGCCCTCGGAACTCTCACCAGGCCACACCCCTCGCTGGTTCTGTTTTGCACCCCAATGGAACATGTCCTTAACCCTGACCACGACTCTTGCTTGTTGGGGGCAGAAAGGGGCGTGTTTAGAAACTTGTCTGCTGAACAAAAAGAGAAGTTGCTTTCATTGTTCTGCCCACTTTTGACCCCACCCATCACTGGAATGTGGGAGGATAGGTGTACACGACAGAATGTGCCTCTTGGGCTGAGATTGAGAAGTGTTTTTCCTTTCCGGGGTAAAGTCGAAATTTGCCAGGCGCCAGGCACGTTTTGCACCTGGCTATGAGCCACTTAGGGACGCGGGTGGCACTGTGGGTTGAACCACAGAGCCTAGGACTTGCCGATCAGAAGGTCGGCGGTTCAAATCCCCATGGTGGGGTGAGCTCCCATTGCTCGGTCCCTGCTCCTGCCAACCTAGCAGTTCAAAAGCACGTCAAAGTGCAAGTAGATAAATAGGTACTGCTCCGGCGGGAAGGTAAACAGCGTTTCCATGCACTGCTCTGGTTCACCAGAAGCGGCTTAGTCATGCTGGCCACATGACCCAGAAGCTGTACGCCGGCTCCCTCGGCCAATAAAACGAGATAAGCGCCGCAACCCCAGAGTTGGCCACGACTCGCCCTAATGGTCAGGGGTCCCTTTACCTTTACCTTTATGAGCCACTTGCGACCAATCTCCACCATCAGGAGGTGCATGCCTGGAGATTGTTGGAGCTAGACTGTTTTCACATACTAACAATACATCCTGTAGAATTCTATCCATTATATCTTGTCTGCATGAGAATGAATTTCAGGAACCCAAAAGTCATATTGAAAAATACGACTTTTGAACCGCCTGGCCCCCAAATGGCAACTAGGCAGTTCATTTTGGTGATGGTAACCCTGGTTTAGGGAGCCCTTTGGTTCCTAACTTATATATCTGAGTTTCTGTCACTGGTCAGAAGGACACCCTCCTCTTTATCAGACCCCCACCACATCAAAATTTGCCCATACTGCAAGGGGCCGGTGGGTGGGCGTTGCAAGAAAAAGAGGGAGGAGTGTGGGGTGGAGCTGAATTAAATCAGTGCTTTTTTCTGGGGGGGGGGCACAGGGGTACGCATACCCCTAAACATTTTGTGAATCTTTGTACTTTTGTCCATTTACTGTATTTATTTTTCCCAATTTGAACTATAAAATGGTGATTTCCTTGAGTCAAAATGAGAGTACCTCTAAACATTTTTTTTTTAGAAAAAAGCACTGGATTAAATAGCCTGGACTTTGCCTCTTCCTTATTGAGGTGGGGGAAGCCCATGTGGTAAGCCATGCCCCCCTCCCCAAACCAACTCTCCTCTCCTTTTCAAGGGAGGATAGTATTGCCATATTTCAAAAAGTTGTGTGTTGGGCTTTTTCCTTGCCAAAGTTGTTGAGGTTTTAATTTTGCAAAATCTCAAAAAAGAACAACGACCTGAGTTTTTGAGCTATTTTTCTTTTTAATGAAAGTTGCCAAAAATTCACTTCTGACATGGGCTGCCATATGTCTGGATTATCCTGGATATTTAAGCAATTTCCACCCGGGCACTTCTTTTTGACGACCAAGTCCCAGCTAGGTCTGGGAAATTCCCGACATATGGGAAGCCTAGGGGAGGAGGTTGTGGCAAACTCCCCCCAGCATTGTAATAGGGACAAACAGCATTATGGAGGAATTTAAAGTTGGGCAGGATGAGCCCCAGCAATGGGTCCCATGGTCTTAAGCTGTGGTTCACCTAGGGCTGGTACCAGAACTCTCCCAAGTAAATAAACCTGTTGCAGTGTCTGCTTTTACAGCCGGCGTGTAGAAGTGTGTGGATTTTGTCATTGTCATTTCTGTAGGCCATTTTTCTTTCTCTTTTTTAATGATCCCAGAGCCATGGGTAGCCCCTTACCTGAAGCACATATCTTCTGAGGTTTACCCACTTTCATGCTGGGTGAGTTTCCAGTTTGATTAAACAACTGCTCTTCTGCTTAATTTGTCTACGCCAGCCGTTCGTATGAAATATGCAGTTAATTAGGGCAGCGGAGTACAGAAACTTGTTTATCCCTGCGACTTAGGCGAAAGAAAGAGAGAGAGAGAGAGAGAGAGAGAGAGAGAGAGAGAGAGAACCCCCCCCCTTGAAATTTCCAGTAGTGAAGCAATTAAGTAATGGAATTCGGCAGTATAAACATAGTATAATTCAGCTATAAAAATGATGCCTAAGTAATGTTAATGAGTTGACTGCAAGCCACAGCTGCAAGGGGAATCCAGTTCAGGCAGAGTCATGCTTAGGAGAAAGGGAAGGGGAGAGAGGAGAACTTACCCCTGATCTCCTATCACTGATCAGTTGCATGAAAAACTGCCCAAATTTCACTTGGGACTTTTTCCCCCAAAACTGGCCACCTTGGCTTTTGTGCTGGAATCCAGAACTTCTCCCAGATTGGATACATAATGCACAACTGGGAACTACAAGCTCGTAAGAAGAGTAGTAGAATCATAGAATCGTAGAGGTGGATGAGACCTCAAGGACAATCTAGTCCAACCCTCTGCAATCCAGTCCTGCTGGATCAGGCCAAAGGCCCATCTGGTCCAGCATCTTGTTCTCAAAGAGCCAACCAGATGTCTCTGGGAAGCTGGCAAGGAAGATCTGAGAACAATAGTGGCTCTTCCCACTACTGTTCCCAGGAACTGATACCAAGCTAGGAAATGAGAGAATTGATAAGGCTTTTTTGTTTTCTTAGGGGAAAAAAAGTTTATCTGTCCTAGTGGGAATGCTGCTAACAACATTATTATATTTTAAATGCTTATTAAAGTATAATTTAAGTGTTGCTTCTATATAGACATGCACATTCCATATGTTTTCAGTGCTTGGTTATCCCATAATTTCCCAGGGCTTGATTCCACAAAGGATGGTCCTTTTCTCACTTTAGGTAGAAAGACCCAATGGTTTGACTCAGTATAAGGTAGCTTCCCATATTAACTGGCAACAACAGCCATAGTTCTGGGGCAGAATATATGCTTTGGATGCAGAAGGTTCCAGGTTCAGTCTGTGGCATCTCCAGCTAGGGTTGGGAAGGGTCTGAAAGCCTGGAGAGCTGGTGGCAGTATAGACAAGCTAGATGGACAAATACTGGTCATTTTCTTCTGCAACTTGTTTGGCGCAAAGACTTCCCCCTTGTCCGCTATCATCTCTCCTGAGACTTTCCCCTTATCCTCTATCATCTCTCCTGAGGCTTCCATGATGCCCAGTCTAGATGCCTAGTCTAGATCTTCTCCTCTGATGAACACAGAAGAATGGTCTGAATCAGAGCGAGCATCAACTGGGGAAGATTCATAGCTCAGTGGTAGAGCATCAGCTTTGTATGCAGGAGGTCCCAGGTTTGACCCCCAGGATCTCCAAGTAAGGCTGGGAGTGACCCTGCTTGGAAACCCCGGAGAGCTGCTGTCAGTCAGTGTAGACAATATTAAGCTAGATGAATGTAAGAGTTGGAATAAGGAAGGTCCCTATGTTCCAGTACTATGTGACAATATGCGCTCAGCACAGGGGTACTGCATGTTCATCCTCGGTGCATTCAATCTTCTGAACCTTATCCCACTTCTGCCACACCTGGGGGCAAGGCTAGCTGTCCAGCTGTTGGATCCACTAGTCCATCCTTGGAACAAGCCTTGTTTTATATGCCCCCCTGTAATCTCTGCAGCAATCTAGTGATGTGTTCTTAGCTTATTTTAGTCTCTAGCTCAGGGGTCGGCAAGGCTTACTGGGCATGGGCCAGATCACTCCTGCAGACATCCTCCATGGGCCGGGCTGGAGCAGTGAGACACCAGAAATTGCGTCTGCGCATGTCCGCGGTGCCGGAAATCACTTCTGCGCATGCCTAGAGGCCAAAAATTGCGCCTGTGCAGAAGCAATTTTTGGCTTCTGGGTATGCACAGAAATGATTTCCAGTGCTCGCCGCAGACATATGCAGATGTGATTTTTCAGTGTCTGGGCATGTGCAGAAGCGATTTTTTGAGCCGTGGAAGAGAGTCCCCATGCCATGCTGCGCCGGTGTAGCGCAGCGAGTGGGTGGCTCGGTTTGGGGGCGGCTTATGGGCCGGTTAAATGGCCTCCATGGGCTGCTTCCAGCCCATGGGCCTTAGGTTGCCAACCCCTACTCTAGCTTAATGGTCTTATGAATGCGCGCACGCACACACTTTCTAGATGACCATGTGTATTTACTTTGGAAGGTGGTAAGGTGACCCTGCTCTGTTTGGGGGTTGCAGAAAGAATATCCTTGCTTTAGGCTAAGCTATCAATTAGGCACCTGTGGGAACACATGGACCCGTAGACACCTCCCTGGCACTCATAGATTCCCCTCCCACCGCTGAAATTAGCCCCGAAATGAACATTCTGCTGTAGCCAGTGGAACAGGTTGTGGCACACACTTGTGGTGTGTGTGTGTGTGTGTGTGTGTGTGTGTACGTGTTTGACTATGAATAGGCTGCAAGGGTTTAAAAGAGAGCAAGATGTGGCCTTCTCCCTTATATACCCAGTAGGTCACTGAGATCTTTCGAGGAGCTTCTCCATCTGCCTGGATAGCTCAGTTGGTTAGAGTGTGGTGTTGATAATGCCAAGGTTGCAGGATCAATCCCCGCATGGGATAGCTGCATATGGCAGGAAGTTGGACTAGATGTTCCTCAGGGTGCCTTCCAAATCTATGAATCTATGACCTTCTACTGCCTGAGCACCACATATACAGTGGTACCTCGGGTTACATACGCTTCAGGTTACAGACTCTGCTAACCCAGAAATAGTACCTCGGGTTAAGAATTTTGCTTCAGGATGAGAACAGAAATTGTGCTCCGGCAGCGCAGCAGCAGCAGGAGGCCCCATTAGCTAAAGTGGTGCTTCAGGTTAAGAACAGTTTAAGGTTAAGAACGGACCTCCAGAATTAATTAAGTACTTAACCTGAGGTACTACTGTACAAGTGTGATGTTTGCAAAGATCTCAGAGGCCCACTCCTTAAGTTTCTTAGTGTGGCTTCCCCTGTTCTGTGGAACAGCATCCTGTCCCTGCATTTTCTGGAAACAACAGAAGACAGTTTTGCTCAGACTGGCTTTTCAAGCTGGGTAAATGGGTATTTGCTATGAATGTCTATTTAGTGGCCCATATTTTCTGTGTTGTTTTAAACCTTTAAAAGCCGTTTCTATTGAATTTTGTGCATTGCCTTGAGATGTTGGCGAAAGGCAATGAAACAGCAGCAGCAACATTATTGTTATTATTATTATTATTATTATTATTATTATTATTATTATTTTATTATTATTAATTTATTTGGCTATTAAACCAGCTGGCTTTAGGCCTGACCCACAGAAGAGAAAGCACGACTGAAATGAATGGAAGTCATTGAGAATGTCTGTATCAGGGAGAACCTCTCAGACTTTCAATAGAGTATGTGCCACTTAACGGTCTCTCGTGGCAGTGCATCTACAAAGCATTTCAGGGTTTAAAACCTTGGATGTCAGCTTTGTACCAATGCCTCAGGGTGAAGTTTCTAGCAGGATTTATTTTAAACGAGCCTCCCCTTTGCCTACCTGGTGCTTCTAATGGAAATGTTTTATAGACCCTTAACGAGAACTGAGAGCACCAGGCTTCCATCATAAAAGAACAAGTTTATAATATCCAGAATGATGTTAACTTCTTCTTTTTTGTTTTTAATTGACCCCTGCCACTACCCCTTGGCTGTCACTGCTAATTCGGACTTTCTGTGTGTGTGTGTGTGTGTGTGTGTGTGTGTGTGTGTGTAAAAGCTTTGGAATGCTTCTCTCCAACATATTTTAAAACAGTATTGACTAAGCAATTTGCAAGTAAGGGGCAGGGCTGCCGACGAACATCAAAACAAATAATTCTGTGAGCGGCAGCCAGGAAGAGAGTAATATGACTTTTACAAGTTACATTTCATTCAAGCCAGATCCTCTGGGATCTTTCTGCTTTCTGCCATTTTTGGTGTGCGCAAGGCATCTCCCCCTTTCCACTTCACAATGTTGTCCCTGTCACTTAAGCCTCAAGCAGCATGATCCACTAGGACAGCAGATTCCAATGTGGACATTTCTTTCCCCCTTGTTCCCCACGTAGATCTTCCCTCACCTCTTCTTCCCTGGTGGGGGGGAGGGCATCATTTTGAGGTCCGCCTCAGGTGCTCAAATGTCTTGGGCCAGTCCTGCACTGGAGATTTTAAAGGTTGGGGTGTGTTTATCTCATTGCGAGAAGTGAGGTTACAGGGAACCAGGCGGAGGGCCTTCTTGGTAGTGGCACCCTCCTTGTTGAACACCCTCCCATCAGATGTCAAGGAAATAAACAACTACAGTGGTACCTCAGGTTAAGTACTTAATTCATTCTGGAGGTCCGTTCTTAACCTGAAACTGTTCTTAACCTGAAGCACCACTTTAGCTAATGGGGTCTCCTGCTGTAGCTGCGCCGCTGGCGCACAATTTCTGTTCTCATCCTGAAGCAAAGTTCTTAACCCGAGGTACTATTTCTGGGTTAGCGGAGTCTGTAACCTGAAGTGTATGTAACTTGAAGTGTATGTAACCCGAGGTACCACTGTGTCTGACTTTTAGAAGACATCTGAAGGCAGCCCTGTTTAGGGAAGTTTTTCGTGCCTGATGTTTTATCGTGTTTTAATATTCTGTTGGGAGCTGCCCAGAGTAGCTGGGGAGACCCAATCAGATGCACGAAGTATAAAATAATAATAATAATAATAATAATAATAATAATAATAATAATAATAAAATCTCTGCACGCCAGAGATTGATGCTGCCACGCCGCAGCTGCACGATTTCTGTTCTCATCCTGAAGCAAAGTTCTTAACCTGAGGTACTATTTCTGGGTTAGCGGAGTCTGTAACCTGAAGCGTCTGTAACCCAAGGTACCACTGTAGATGTTTTGAACTGCCCCCCCAATAACACTATTATTCTATTCTTTTTAAAAACTGCTTTGTTTGTTTTACAATCAAGCCATGTATAGTTTTTTATGTAATGACTAAATAAACAAATATAGCATTTCTCAAACTGATGTGGGGAAAATGTGGAGCACATTCCCAGCCCCTTTAAGACACTACAGTTCCCAGGATTATTTGGAGTGTGTGTGTGTGTGCTTTAGATGTATATATTGTGTACACTGCCTCAATTCTGCCTCAATAAATGTTCATTCAACAGAATTGTTTGAGACAGTTGCAACGGGCTGCTGGAGGGAGCAGATCTTGCAAAGAACAGCGTGTCTGTTTCTCTGCTTTTTTATTTTGTTTTTTTAAAAGGTACCCACACAGCCCTGCACCCCCATAATTGCACACTAATTAAAAATCTAATAAAAGGAAACTTGAAATATGTCCGTTACTCCCCCCCCCACTATGTTGCTAAGGTAAATAAAAAAAGGGGGGAAAGAAAGAAAAACGGCTCATACGTTTTGGGGTCGTTAGAAGCGCATTGTTAAATTGGAGCACGCTGCAGAATTTCCAAATTAAAAAACTGCAGAGAGCCACATCTGGAACGGGACATGAGAGCTGATCGCTGTTAACTTCATCCGGGAGTCAGTCTATAGTTCATTTGTTGCTTCTGGTAAGTACTATGGCTGAGAAGCCCCAGCAATCCACAGCTCCTGGAACCATACCTTGCAAAATTTCCTTTTTACAACATCTCCCGTGGTCAACCATAACCCCTCACAGCTTTACCCTCAGGCTTTGGAGCTCTGAACTCCATATGCCGTCTGGTGCTTGAGCTATAATATGCCTTTTAATATGTCGAAAACAGAAACAGCTTGGAATATTAACTTAGCTCGACTTTTCCCGCTGCCACGGGTATAATGATGAAAAGTAGACAAGCTGTCAGGGTTGGCAATTAAGCAAACTAACCCTTTTCTGCATGTGTGTGTGCGCGTGTTTTTAAATGCCAAGTACAGTAGTGATTTCCTAACTGTTCAGACCTCTCAGGTCAAGATACCTCAAGGACAAACCCTGGTTGGGTTGGTTATTTTGGTGGACCATCTCAGTTATTATTATTATTCTTTTTAAATGAACACCACCTTTGATTTGAGTTGCACCATAACGGTTTCCAAGATAAATGACTTTGCTTCCTGAATTGTCAATATATCTACAGAGGGGGTCACTAGAGAGTAGAGTTATCAGGTGTTTGCCCACTAGGACCAACACGATGTTTTGAAACATTTTAGCATGTCCATTTTGACCTTCTGTGGTGGTTTTCTTCTTCTCTTCTCCCCTCTCTTCCCCTTCCTCTCCTCTTTCTCTCTCTTCCATCTCATCTCCAGTTATGTGCCTGTGCTCCAGAACAAGGAAATATTGGCCTTGATCTCTCTTCAATCACAATGTCAGGTAGTCTTGGGCTTTCTATCTGTAAAATGGGGCCAAGAATAACATACTTCCCAAACTTCCCAAGGATAAAATACTTCCCAAACATACCTGAAGGAGCATCTCCACCCCCATCATTCTACCCAGACACTGAGGTCCAGCGCCAAGGTCTGGCGGTTCCCTCACTGTGAGAAGCCAAGTTACAGGGAACCAGGCAGAGGGCCTTCTCGGTAGTGGCACCCGCCCTGTGGAACGCCCTCCCACCAGATGTCAAAGAGAAGAACAATTACCAGACTTTTAGAAGACATCTGAAGGCAGCCCTCTTTAGGGAAGCTTTTAATGTTTAACAGACTACTGTATTTTAATACTTTGTTGGAAGCCGCCCAGAGTGGCTGGGGAAACCCAGCCAGATGGGCGGGGTATAAATTATTATTATTATTATTATTATTATTATTATTATTATTATTATCTGACAATGGCTAGTAGATGATCATCATCATGGTCGTATCCAAGCCAAACCCTACTCAGAGTACACCATTTGAAATCAAAGAACAGAAGTTGGTAATGTCCATTGATTCTAAGGGGTCGACTCTGAGTAGGACTTTGCCAGCCATCTTCTCCCCCCCCCCCCCGCTTTCCCCTTTAATCTGAACTCCTTCACACTGGATAAAGCTGCTGTTGATAAACTGGGGACAGGAGGAGGCCTCCCTCTTGTACCACTTTCCCCCTTCTGAGATATATATATATATAAAACATCTGATTTAGGTTTACTGAAATAACAACAGATGTTTATCTTGTATTGTGTGGCACATGGTGCTGGAGCCCATAAACCCCTCCTGGAGATTGAACCGCTCGCCTTAGACACTTAGGGGCTTTGTTCCCTTTTTCTGATTCCTTCTCCCCCTCTCCCCTCCCAGCTTTCTCTTGGTGTTTTTATTTCTTAGCCATTTAATCTGCTACCAAAGAATGTATAAGCATCACATTATAGAGCGTGAAACAAGGGGATAGTGAGGGGATTTTCAATACTTCCTTCCACTGAGCTGGAGACTCTCGATGTGGTAACCTTACCTGCCGTTTTGGATCAGGAAATAATGACAGGGGCATTCCATAACTTCCTGAAAAGCTTTAGGCTGTGGTCCAATAGGAGTCCAATAGGAACGACCCCCGTGGAGATGAATAGAAGTTACTGTGGTACAGCTTCTGTTTGCTTTAGGCCAGCATGGAGGGTCTTAATGGATCGTGACCATGGTGATGGACCATGGGGAAGGGCTGTGGCTCAGGGCAAGAGCTTCTGCCTGGCATGCAGAACGTCCCAGGTTCAATCCCCAGCACCTCCAGGTACAACTGGGAGGGATTCCCATCCTGGAGAGACACTGCCAGTCAGTGTAGGCCACAGTGAGCTTAGATGGGGTCAGGGGTCTGACTCTGTTTAAGGCTGCACTGGTCTTTTAAACAATGTAGTCTGTGTTATGTACTGAGTTGACTAGGATCCAGAATGCAGCAGTCTGATTGGTCCGCAGGAGCCACCCAATCCAACTCTAGGTGGAAGTGAATCCGCAACCTGATTGGCCTACAGGAGAATCCCAGAATTAGCCAATCACGTGGAGCCCATTGTGTAAATAATGTATATAAAGCAGACATTTTGGAGGAACTTCCATTCCTCACTACTATGAGCTGAATAAAGAGCATGAAATCCACACTTGACACCGAGTATATTTCAGTCTGTGATGCATTGGGAAAAGGAGAGTAAGCAGGCCAGGAACTAGGAAACTTAACTGCTGCTGCTTGAGGCTCTGGATCTAAAAGATGGTATCAATGGGGTCAGGTGGCGGAGCTCTGGAAAAATGACAGAGAGGATGGCTGCAGCCACTCCCATCGGGCAGTGCTTGAGACAGCTGCCTCTCTTTAGGATGAGCCCTGTCTGCCAATCCTATTTACAGAACACGGAATCAGTCTCAGAAAACCTTATTCCTGACCCATTATATTTATTAAAAGCTGCTTTAAAATCTCACTTGTGTTGGGATGGAATGGCCAGTCCGTTTTTGTTTTATCCCCACTCCTACATCTTCATTTCTGCACCACTTTGTCCAGGCGTCAGCAACCTTTTTCAGCCGTGGGCTGCTCCACCCAGAGATGCATTTTAAATAAAAGGACACATTCTACTCATGTAAAAACATGCTGATTCCTGGACCGTCCGTGGGCTGGATTAAGAAGGCGATTGGGCCGCATCCGGCCCATGAGCCTTGGGTTGCTTACCCCAGACTTTGTCATTTATATATTTATTTTAATGCCCTGATGAAAGCTCATCAGGGCATTTTAAGTGCGCATTTCATATTTTAAATATATGTATTTTGAATATATATATTTCGTATATTCTGTATTTTAAACACACACACACACACACACACACACACACACACACACACTTTTGTATATCATTTTGACTAATGGATGCATATCTGTAAGCAATTTATCCTAATAATAAGCATTTCTGTATGCCATTTTCAGTCATATAGGCATTTTGATGGAGATCTTTGTATGCCTTCTTTAGTTGGAAATGGCATTTCAAAATTCAGAGAATGGTGAATTTCAAAAGGTAGTGGTGTTCCGGTTCATGTATTGCATCAGGAGGTGTGGATTAGGGAATTTCGCAGCAAACAATGAACCAAACCAAATTTATCCCTCATCTCTATTGGAGCTTCCAGCACTATCCCCTCTGAGGGCTCTCCTTCCACCTCGGGTATTTTGGTGAGGGCAGTGTTTGCAATAAATTAAATAAAACATACACTGCCAGTGTCTTATTGCACTTAGAATAATTTAGTAAGATGACCAGGAATGTTCCAGTCCACCGGGAAAAAGAACTAGGATTGAACAGTACACTTTAGAATCTAAAACAAAATAATCTTAATTTCCTGCTTAAATTTCAGTAGGGTGTTGAGTTAAGTGGGATTTGCTTTTTTGGATAAACATGTCTGGTGTGTTTTGGGTTGTTTTATTCCTGTTTTTGTGCTTCTGTTTTAATGTTTTTTGGAAGCACTGTGAGTATTTTTTCTGGAAAAATATTGTTGTTTGTTGTAATGCTGGAGGAGAATACTCAGGTTGAAAGAGGACAGCCAAAAGTTGATTGATAGTTCCCAAAATGGGATGGATGGTTCCTCATTGTTCCTTTCAATGGCTCTGTATGAAATTGGTGGCTTGACCAGATCTTTCGTACAATAATAAAAACCCATTGGATTGTATCCAGCAATATTCCGATTCAGAAAAAACCCATTGAAATGAGCAGACTTGAATACCTCAAGTTCATGAATTTAAATAGGACTTCATTAGCTACAAGGCTACATTAGCAGACACCTCTTCATTTTATGTTACTCTTCCTTGTGTTGTGTATTGTATCGAACTTCACAATAGCCCTTCAGTGTAAGCGTCCCTTCCCATTTTACACGTAAAGACCCAATGTGGACAGTGAATTGCTTTTGCTCAAAATCCAAACAAGGAACCCAATCTGCAGTTGTTGTTGTTTTTTAATTACGCCCATTAATTTAATCCACAAAAATGTAACTTATTGATCTACTTAAGGCTAGCCAAGTGGCCAAATAGCCTTATATTCATTTTATATAATTCATCACTTTCTGTGTGAGATAAATGCAGCAGTAGCTGGTGCTCTTTGGGGCTGGTAGAGTTAGGAACCTCAACTCCTCCCTGTTGAATTCTCCAAAAACAACACTGAGATCTAAAAAGAAGAAGCTAACAGCAGGTGACACCCATTGGACTAGTTGTAAGTTAACAGGCAGGCCGAGATCAGGCTGAGACTGATGGGGCAGTGCCCCCTTTGCCTCGATGAACCACCCAGGGCCAGATTACGACCTTTAGAGGTCCTAAGCACTTAAAAGATTTTGGTGTCTCCATATATATCTAATTCAAAATATAAACCATATTATATAAACAGCCATAGGAGCCAACTCCTAGGGGCCAAGGGGTCTTCAGTTCCCCCAATAAAATATTTGAAGGGGTTGCCCCCCAAATTTGATGGGCATTCCCATTCAAATGGTGTATGTACACCACATCATGGGATCAATTATGTGGGGTGGGGCTTACCTGGCCCCCCAATATTTTATTCAAGTTGACTCCCCTGATGACAGCATTACATTTTTATGTATATAGGAAGATAGAGAGATATTGCGTCCTTACAGAACATTACAAAGGTTGATTATTTCCCCCTGAATTAGTTTTTGTTTAGTTTTCATGTGTTCTTATATAATATGTGATCTTGCCATTCATAGCTGAATCCCATATCCTGAATAAAATACAATCAGATGGAGCGAGGTGGGGGACAGGATTTTTTTATTTTCCCACATGGAGCTACTGAGATAATTGTAGCTGTGAATTCATTGATAACCACCTCCCCATCAATTCTTTCTACACACCCCTTCAACTAATTCCAAAGGAGTTTTCAAAGCATCCTCTGGAATCCTATATCCTGTGATTTGCTAGGGTGTAAAATAAAATAGAGAGAGGTGCCCCACATTGTTGCTGTTGAGTTTGTGGCTTTCCACCTGTTCAGCATTGACTGTGGCATTATGATAGAAAGAGGAAAATGATATCGCTTAGAGTTCAGGATAACCCATGAATCTAGTTTCAGGAATTAAGGGAAAGATACCCCTGGAAGGAGAAAAGAAACACAAATAATCTCATCCAGCCTTTTGTCAATTGCTGACAAGTTCCCCTCTTCTCTTCAGAATAACAACACAGAAGTGGGTGTGGTTTGGGCAGTTGGGGGCGGGGTAACCTCAAATCCTTTAAGCTGTGTTTGGCATTTTGCAAAGCTGAGGTTGATTTGGATTGTGCTTGACAGGTAGTTCCCCTCCCTTCTTTTCCCTCGACTGTGAAAATTTAACAGGGTTTCTCTACTAAGGAAGTTTGTGTCACTGTGGACCAGGTTCCACACATCATGCAGACAAAGGCAAACCCTTGTTTGGAGCTGGACAAATGCTGAACAGGAAGTTCAACAGTGTATCAAGGTGAGAGAGATCTGCCTCCAGATGTTGCTAGACTACAGCCCCCATCATCCCTGATATTGGCCATGCTAGCTGAGACTAATAGGAGGTGAAGTCTAGCAACACACAGAGGGACCCAGGTTCCCCATACCTGTTCTACATAGTATCTCTCCTTCCTAGTTTTGCTTCCTTCATGGTGATAGGGGTCAGCTGCCCTACAGGGTTTCCATGTGACTTTCAGATATAATATAGTAGAGTTGATAGGTTTTAGAATAGAGTTGTAGCCCACTGATATGTATGCACATGTCTAATGTAGGTCCATCAGTTTCAATAGGTTTACTCTGGGTTGGACTTAGTTGGGTGAAACCCATAATCTGATGGTATGGTTGCTCAGGGGATTTGCGAGATCAGGCAAGATACCATTGCAGACACTTCGAACTGGCCCATGCCTGCAGCCTAACACAGCACAGCACATTCAACTGGTAATTGAACAGAAAATTGGAGTGTTGTCATGTGACACTAGGTAAAGGTAAAGGTAAAGGGACCCCTGACCATTAGGTCCAGTCGTGGCCGACTCTGGGGTTACGGCGCTCATCTCGCTTTATTGGCTGAGGGAGCTGGCGTACAGCTTCAGGGTCATGTGGCCAGCATGACTAAGCTGCTTCTGGCAAACCAGAGCAGCACATGGAAACGCCGTTTACCTTCCCACCTATTTATCTACGTGCACTTTGACGTGCTTTCGAACTGCTAGGTTGGCAGGAGCAGGGACCAAGCAATGGGAGCTCACCGACCTTCTGATCGGCAAGTCCTAGGCTCTGTGGTTTAACCCACAGCGCCACCCGCGTCCCCGTCATGTGACACTAGGTGATAGCAACTAGCAGATTCCTCCCCCCCTTTCTTTTTTGGCATAATGCTACTTGAGCAACCATGGGAACTCTAAATTTCAGTGTGGTCCAACAGCTGTTCATTACACATGGAGATGTCAGAAGGGATGAATGATGAACTAACTGGGTGCCTTCCATAAGCGTAATATTGATTAGCTATGGCTGTGGCATCTGCCCATCAGGACAGCCCAGGATTCAATGCACCACATATCAAGAGTAGGGACCCTCAGGTCTGGGGATCAAAAACTGCCCTCCAGACTCCCACACCTCACCCTTGAAAAGGCCACACCCTTCACCAGCCTCATTTGAACTTTAAGCATGGGGTTTTTTTTGTCCGGTTTGAATGCATTCTTGAACTCTGGTCATATCACTTGCTTGCCTGGTTGGAAGACAGAGGTGTGTGTGTGTGTGTAGAACATTGTCCAGAAGGGAGTAGGAATATAGGAATCTGTCTTATGT